AAAGGAAGAAAAAGAAAGAAAGAAAGAAAGAAAGAAAGAAAGAAAGAAAGAAAGAAAGAAAGAAAGAAAGAAAGAAAGAAAGAAAGAAAGAAAGAAAGAAAGAAAGAAAGAAAGAAAGGGAAAGATGCCTGGACACTTACATGGGGGGGAAAGACAGCCTGCTTCCCTCAGAGTCTCTGGCACCCACCGGCGTCCCCACTTTGTTGGGGTGCTTTGAGTTAATGGCCGGCAGCCTCACCTGCATGAAAAAATACAAATCCCCAGGTCAGAGAGAAAATTCACCACCAGGGGCACAGGTGTGGACTTGGATGGCATTCAGTGTGGCAGTGACTTCAGTGGGTGGGGACACAGGATGCCTCCATGGCTTTCTCAGTCACTGTATTCAAGGGAAGATACAAGTACACAAGCCTGTTGTGGCACACGCCTGTGATCCCAGCACTCCGGAGGCTGAGGCAGGAAATTCACTGTGAGTTGGACCCCAGCCTGAGCTTTATAGAAAGGCCCTGTCTCAAAAAAAAGATGCATTTACTCAGTAGGCAAAGGATGAAAATTTATCAATGGGGAATACTGAAGGGCCCTAGGACCACGCAAATGAAATCATGTCCACATAAAGCCTGCATGCTAAGGCTCTCAGTGGCTTAAGTAGGAACCAGGAAGAGCTGGAATAACTCAGACTCCAGGCAGAAGCTGGGCCAAAGGTCACCTGAGGCTCAGTGCCCTGATATGCACTCTGGAAAAGGATACCTGGTAGGAGGACAGAACACAGATCAGTGACTACCTCGTTTGGGAGTGGTCGACAACAACAAAAAGCTGAGGAATCTGGAGGTTTAGGGAGCTGCATGAGGCTGGAAGCCCACACAATGAATGCATTTGTCAAAGCTCATGGGACAGGCCAGGCATGGTGGTGCATGCCTGTATCCCCAGCACTCTGGAGGCTGAGGCGGGAGGATCAAAAATTTGAGCGCAGACTGAGAATCTTAACAGCTTAGTGAGACCTTGTCTCAAAATTTAAAAATTAAAATTAAAAAGTCTGGAGCTGAAGCTTAGCAAAGGCCCAGGGTTCAATTCTCAATACCACAAAAATGGAAGGAATAAAGGAAGTAAGGAAATCAGGGGCGTACGACCAGATGAGCTCCGTACCCGGCAGCGATAAGGTCACCCAACAGGGCCCCCCATGCCCTGCATGGCTCCTGCCCGAGCCCCCAACATGGGCCCCATTTGCTGCTGTCCTCGGCTATCTGTCATGGTGGGGGACTCAGACAGCCTGGCTCCAGGCATCTGTGCAATCCCCACACACAGCGTGTGTGGTCACTAAAGGGGCCGCCCCAGCGGGTCCGTATGGACACAGCCTGCAGGGCGTCCACTCTGCTCCAACCGTGCAGGAACAGGTCAGTGGTTCTGCGTGTCGCTTGGGTCCCCAGAGCAATGTCACCAGCTGCTGGCCCATCCCTGGGCAGCAGGCCTGATCCTCAGCAGGTCCATTGGCAGGGACTGTGAAAATTGACCCAGAGCTGGGATCACAGTTGGACACAGAAGACAGAGCACACAGACAGACAGCCAGTGTCACGCCCTATGCCCAGAGATAAACTGAGGGTCCCTTCCCACCAGTGTGACAACAGGAAGCCAGGCAGGGACAGCCAGGACCCTCATCACTCAGGTGAAGCAGTGTTTGGCACCAAAATGACCCTAATTTTTAATACAGCTTGTATCATTTCACTCACAAATCCCCATGTCCCAAGCACTAAGATTCACTTCAGACCTGAAGCTGGCAGTTAACTGGTCCTTGGAGACACCAAGATTAGACAGAGGATGGGATCTCCAATTAGGAGATCCCAGCAACCCATCCACCAATCAGGACTGAATCCAATAACACACCCATTAATTAGAATTGAGCCCCCAAATCCATCCACCAATCAGGGTTGATCCCAACAACCACCCACCAATCAGGATTGCTCTCCAGTTCCCAGCTGCTCTTTAACATTACAAGGCCCCTAAGGGCTCCACTTAAGGCCTAGCCTCCTCCAAGTCGGTGTAGAAGAAAAGAATTCCTCTCCCTTCCTTTATTATCAGTAAGGAGCCCTCCAGGGAGATTTCAACTGAAAGACTTAAATGAAGTAGGAATGTTTGAAAGCGAGAGGGTGAATAAAGATAAAATTTCCTCCCTCTATGTACCAATCAGAAGCACTATGCCAATTGCCCCCAAGATGAGCACTGACTGGCTAAAAACCACCTGGTAAAAAGCAACTTCACTTACAAAGTCAATATTCACAAAGAACAGGACACCAGGGTCTGGGCTACTCCCCTTCCAGTCCATTGAAACTTAAAGCACTGTGCAGGTGGTGGAAGCTGGGGCCACCGTGAGACCCAGGGTGGCCAACCTGCAACCCCCAGAGACTCAGGGGCCCTGGAGGCATGGCACATGCCCATGCCACCCTCTACGAGCTGTCACCTTCTTTTTCTCCTCAAGCTCTTCGGCCTCTCTCTGCCACACTGTTTTCATGTCGAAGTTGAAGGGTCCTCTTCTAGACTCGTAGCCACCGTTGGCTTGGCTGGGGTGGAACTCTTCGTATACCATGTAATCTGGCATGGTGACCACGGGCACCCTGTGGGAAGAGGGGGTCACAGCCCAGTGCCATTCCTCTCCCCCACCACCACTCTCTCTGTACACAAGAGCCATCGGCTCCTGAGGACACATGGGGGTCCCCATAGACACCCAAACCCTCCCCAGCCAACTCCCCTCCCACAGGGGCCCGTGGGTGTGAAGATGAGGTGTATTTAAGCATGCACCACCCCCAGCAGAGAACTCATGAAGCAGTCATTTCTTTAGACTAGCATCTGCTGACTTCGTCTGCTTTCCAGGAGACACACAGCTCTGGTTACCAGTCAACAAGACCGCTTAAATGATGAGCTGTGTTGTTTTCCGGTACATGGTCATGGTTAACGTGTGGGTCTCCCACACAGACTGTGTGCCTGGGCAGGTCACCTCCAGACCCTCCCATGCACTTTCCAGAGGGGCTCTTTCGTTTCACCCCATTCTTTTTACTTGGTGCTAAGTACTCTGAGTGTGCGTGTGTGTGAGAAAGTGCGTCGGTGTGTGAGTGGGTGCATGTATGTGTGTGTGTGATGTGAATAGGGGTGTGTGTGTGTGTGTGTATGTGTGTTACACTAGGGACTGACACAGACCCTTGCACGTGCCAGGCAAGCAGAGCGCTCATCTGAGAGGACTAAACCTTGGAAGAAGCAAGTGCCCCCAGCCTCACTCACGTAAGATATTGTGTGTTTTCTTGTTACAAAGATCAGGGGAAGCAGAACCTTACAGAGAAGGAGCACGTGGCACCAGAAAATGGCTTAGGAACATAGCCCTGGTGCCCCTATCTTCCAACCCAAAACCAGCACAAAACAGACAGCGGGCCGAAAGGGTCGCCCGCGTTCCTTCCTTCTCTGTGGAAGCGAGATGGCCCAGAGGGTCCCACACAGAGGCCAAAGCACCACGGGACCCTGGCTCCCCACCACCCCAAACCCAGCACAGAGCTCCAGGCACCCGTTTCTCCTGCCTTCTGTCCTCCCCAGAAGACAGCTTGGGGACCAACAGCTGTTGCCATGGCCCTACCCCAGGAGATGGAGAAATCCCCAGGCTGCTCAAAGCAGTGGGCATAGCCCCACACCTCAAGGGGACACAAAGAGCGCTCCCTGGTCCCTGGCTCTGGTTTGGCCCGGGTCACACCCAGCGCCTGGACCTGTCCTGTCACACCCTTGGGACTGGCTACAGATTCCTGCCACGTTAAAACTCAACCTGGGATGTCTGATTGTGACCAATCAAACCAGATAACCAGAGGGTGGTGCTTCCAGGTACTCACGGACGCCGGCTGGCGGTGGGCGGCTTGCTGTGATGGATGTACCAGTCGGGCAGGGTGTAGGCCACCGGAGAGCCCTTTCTGGTCCCGGGTGCTGCGGAGTGCTTCAGCAAGTCTCCAGGGGAAAGAGACACACGGAGGTGCTGGGTGTGGAGCAGCTGCCCAGGCAGGAACCTCGAGTAGGGGAGGGAGCCGAGCAGGCTTCCTGGGCTGCCCAGGACCCAGGCTGTCTCCTGCCCCATCTCCTGGCTCTGCTGTGGCACTCGCTACATGCCAATACCATCGCTTCCTGTCCTGGGGCTCAGCCCCCTGGTCCTCAGTGACCTCCTCCCCAGGCCCTCTCCAGCCTGCAGGGTCTGATGTCCTCCTCCTCCTCCTCCTCAGGGACGTCCCTGACCCACGGCTGCTTCCAGCACAATCTGCCCCTGGGGTTTCCAGGGAAGCCACCTGGGAGGTCTACCAGGCACTGTGCAGCCACTGCGCCGCCCACCCAGCTCCTTCTCAGAGGCTGCCCTGCTCCCTGCTCCCCTGCTGGCCATCCACCTGCATCCCTGTCCTTGGTCCCCTCCCCTCCTGCCAAAGGCTGTGAGCAGAACTGGTTTGGCAGTACAGCAGGGACAACACTGCCCAGGGCCCCTGCAGCAGGAAACTTCCACTGATTTATCACGTGCAGTAAGAAATGTTCAACTTTCCATTTTAAAACATCTTGCAATCCTGGAGACTGAAGTCGAGCCTCTGTGCCAAGCTGTGTTCAAAGCCCTTTTTGGAATCAGAGGCAGGGTCTTCCTAAATTTCTAAGTTGCACAGGCTGAGCTTCAACTTGCAGTGGTTCTGCCTCAGCCTTCCAGAGTGTGGGGATTACGCATGGGCCCTAGAAACTTTAAGACAGTTTTCTTCTCAAGCGTTTCAGGCCTACAGTAAAGTTATAGTGCCAATCCCCCTGAACCTCCAGTGCACTTGCCCAGTGTTACTTCAACACATCTTTAAAGCACTCTGTTTGTTTGGTTGGTTGGTTAGCTTTTCATTTTCTGAGACAGGGGTTTTGCTGTGTAGCTCAGTCTGGCCTTGAGCTCACTGTGTAGCCCAGGCTGGCCTAGAACACATGATGCTCCTCCTCCTGCCTCAGCCTCCCAAGTTCTGGGATTACAGGTGTGTGTGCCACCATACCTGGCCTTCTCTGATGATTTTTGTTTTGTTTTGTTGTTTTGGAGACAGGGTCTCCTTGTGTAGCCCAGGTTGGCCTTGAACTCACAGCGATCCTCCTGCCTCAGCCTCCCCAGGGGTGGGGCTACAGGTGTGTGCCACTGCGCCAGGCTGATGATTATTGTTATGAGAACAATAACTTGCAGTGTGGTACAGACAGGAAACTGTCTCGGCACCAGTCTCCAGAGGTGATCCAAATCAGGAATCACTGTGGTGACCAGATCAGGAGTAGTTTGATGCAAGGTTTGAATCTAATTTATAGACCATGCTTGGGTTTGCCAGCCATCCTGTATCAGGCACCACAGAACAGAACTTTAAAAGTTAGATTGGGTGCATGGGATAGCTCTGTGGCACTGAGGCTGCCTCACAAGTGCAAGGTCCTGAGTTCGAACCCCGGTAACAACAAAAAAAAAGTTCAGTTTTTTTTTAGAGATAAGCAACTTCTCCAAACTTCTTCCTGCTCATAACCAACACCCTGCTTCTCTCAGCCCCCCAAAGGGCCCCAGTGTGCAGATGCAGCCCCGGGAGGTTCCCTTCCACGGGACAGGGCACTGTGAGGTAAAGCTGGGGCTCTGCATTGCCTGTGTTCCCGCCCTTCCGATCCTTGCTGTAAAGACCCTTGCCCACCTGCATCAGGGAGGTGCTGATTTGAGGCAAATGGGGTTCTCCACATCCCCGGAGCGGGCTTTGAACAAATCCTTTCTACCAGAATAAATGGCCTCTGTTAATTCAGTCAGCAGTGAGCAAACACAATGACCCCACTGTTCTCTTTTTTTTGGTACCAGGGATCAAACTCGGGACCTTGCGCTTGCAAGGCAGGCCACCGAACCGCTGAGCTAAATCCCTGGCCCCATCCCACTGTTCTTATAACCAGCAGGAGGTCAAGGTGGGCAGAAGACAAAAGTACCAGACCTCAGTCCACCTGCTTCTTGCTGCATCAGTCCTATTCTGTGGTCTTGGATCTCAGTGCCATTTGGCCCCCCAGGGCCCTAGTAGGGTGATGGCAGCCAGAAGGGATGGAAGAAAAGTCTAGAAGCCTTCAATGTCCTTCCTGCCAAAGGCTGACAGATTTGTAGGGACAGGGCCCTTCCGCTGCCAGACAATGAGTTTTATCCCACTCTGCCTGCCACAGTCTAGCATAGTCAATGTCCCAATTAAATATTGTGTGGATAGGAGTTGGTTTTCATCGTCACCACCGCTGACATGCACTGGTGGTTTTCATTATTTGAAATACATCCAATCAGGGCACAGTGGCACAGGCCTGGAATGTTGGCACACTGGGAGGCCGAGGAAAGAGGGAGCAAAGTTCAAGCCCAGCATGGAAAACTGAACAACGTAGGGAGACCATGTCTCAAAATGAGACTTCTTTAAAAAGGCGGGTGGGGTGGGGCTGTAGCTCAATGTGAAGGCAGTGCTTCAATCCCCACTACCACAAAAGCATTCACAAATTGGGAATTAAGTGTGGCAAGCAAGGGACGTTAAAATGCAAGCCCAGCTTCCCTCCTGAGGTCAGCACCCCGAGACCCTCTCTGCACTAAAGAGGGCGGGGGCTGGAAGTGACCGCTCCAGAGCCTCGCCCTGCTGCTGCACCCACATGGCCCGTGTGTAGACCGCGCTGGGTAATGGGCCTTACCAGGCCTGCCGCCCTGCTTGGCGAGCTTCACGTACGCAGAGTCCGTGTCCTTGATCCAGTACCTCCTAGCCGCCAACGTGCTGTGGTCCTGCAAGGCCCCCACGTCGCTCAGCCCTGGGATCTGCGATGCCGGTGGGGCGCCCACCGCCTTCTCGGAGCGCTTGGCCGGGAGGTGGTAATACCAATCTAGGTGAGAAAGAGAGCCACGTGTGTCACCGTTGTCGCCACCAGTCCAGGACCGAGGCAGTGCCTGAGGGCCTGTCTCCCTGCAGAGAGGAGGCCGCCAGGGTGAGTACCGGGCCAAGGGACCAGCCTGCACCTCAGATCACCCACGCCGCACCCTAATGCTAAGCAGCCTGTAGCCACATCTGCAGAGTCCACAGGGACACCAGCCACTGATGCCACGGAGGAGCCACTGGCCTGACCTCCCACCTTGTTGGGAGGCTCTGGCTCTTCCATCGGTATCCTAGCTTTCTGGAGAGGTTGGCCTCCAAGACCTCTTATATCTGTCTACCTCTCTGTCTCTCCTGTAGAGGTGAGATTTAACTGTCTTTCCCGCCATGCTGGGGAATAGGGAAGTCTGAAGTATCCTGACTCAGAACATCACGGATAAAACTTCCAGTGGCCCTGATGTGCATCAACAGATGAATGGATAAAGAAAATGTTTTACTTACACACAATTGAGTGTTACTGTGCCATAAAGAAGGATAGACTTGAGTCATCTGGCAGAAAGTGGATGCACCTTGAGACCATAATGTTAAATAAATCAGATACATGAGCTTACATAGTGCATGGTTTCTCTTATAGAAGAAACCCCAAGTATAAATAAATTAAAGAGCAAAATATCCGATAGTAGGAATCAGGAAGCTAGATCTTTTGCAAAAGGGAAGGGGACTGAGAGATGGAGGGAAGGGAGGGAAAGGGGATCAAAGAAGAACCAAGATGTGGTCTCTGTAGGAACCAACTCCCCCACGAGGGATATAATCATTATGAACTACAAGCATGGATTAATAACAAAAATAAAAATTATAAAAATGCCATGAGTAAAACAGTGGGCTACATGGGCAAATGCTGCCCAAGATCTGTTTTGTTTTGTTTTGTTTTTTGAGTCAGGGTCCTGATATGGAGCTCATGCTAGCTTTGAACTCACTGTGCAGCCCAGGCTGGCAGTGATCCTCCTGCCTCAGCCTCCCGAGTGCAGAGATGACAGGCTTATACCACCACACCCAGCCTGATGCTATCCAAGACTGTGCACGCTCAATGCATTAGAAGACGTAAATTATGGCGCAGAAACAACAGCCAGGCCATACTCAGCAGGGCGAATCTGTGCGGAAGCTGCCATCCCACTGCCCACCACCTGCCACCACCCGGCCAATGGCAGCAAAGCCCAGGCTGGTGCCCCTGGGCTGGCTTGTCGGTGCTGGTGGCAGCCGGGCTCTGTGGAAGACTGAGGGATGAGAAGGGCCTATTCACTGAAAGGCAAAGCGCCCTGGTCCTGAGTCCTCAGCACTTTCCTCTGGGGAGATGGAGATGCAACCCTGGAGCGTCCATGTCCTGACCTCCATCCCCAGGGGTCGGCCAGGTGCAGCAGAGCAGGGAAGAGGAGGGAGAGCAAACTTGGCCTCCGTCCTTCCTGGTGACTTGAGTCCAATGCAAAAAGGGGGTGAGCTCAGCTCCAGGGAGCAAGGGGCTCCCCAAGTCTGAAGCCGTGGCCTCTGGGGCAGACCCTGCACACTGGCCTGTCCCCTGTGAGACTCCAGGAGACCCTGGGCAAGGTGCTGGTAGCTGCTGTCCAGGGTCAGAGGGGCTGGCAAGGTCCCCAGGACCAGGGTCTTTAGCACTTCTGCAGAATCCCTCAGACAGAAGGAAGGGATTGGGCAGTAAGACTGTAGGAATTTAGGCAAAGCTTTGTATCAGAAATTGGGTGATCAGACTGCCAAATATATGGAAAAATATCACAGGCAATTAGAAGCAAAGTCCAGGAAAACTGTGATGCACAAAAGACCTAATACTCATGGCATCACGGTGTATTTAATGGCAGTGGTCAGAACGTAACTGCCACAGACACAGGATCATCAGATCAGGGCAGATGTGGTGGCAAACTTTATGTGTCAGTTTGCTGAGCCATGGAACCCAGACGTCAGTCCAGCATTATTCTAGATGCTTCCAGGAAGGTGTTTTATTGGGTGAGAATAACATTCATCTCAGTGGACTTTGAGCAAACTGGATGGCCCTCCACTGTATGGGTCAGCCTCACCCAATCAGCTCCCAGGCTCAAGAGAAAAGGGGGAAGAGGGATTCTACTTCCACACGGGCTTTGAACTTGAACTGTAACAGCAGCAGGTCTCCAGTACAGGTCACCCCGGACTCCACTCTCCCCTCCAGACATGCCAGCCCCGTATTCCTATGAGCCAGTTCCTTACAGTATATCTCTCTCTCCAGAGATGGATAGATAGACAGACAGACAGACAGATAGACAAGCAGACAGACAGCCTATCGTTTGTTGGTTTTGCTGCTCAGGGCACAGAAAAGCAGTACAGAGTAAAATGACTCACATAAGCACACAGAAATAAGGAGTCCTCATCATGTAAAGCTGAGAGCTTAAACATCCAGTTTCTACTTAAACCACAGCTCAGTTTGCTGTATAAAAGTGAATAACATTTAACATGGAAGAAAAATTTTGGATACCTCAGGGACATTAATTAACTAAATCAACACCACTGAGGTTTTGAAAAGAAAAGAACTTGGGAGAAGTTTAAGGAATTGCACAAAAGATCACAGAGCATCAATTTAAGAACTAAGAATAAGGGTTTAGTAGCTTTGTACTCTGGTCATTCAGCTCAGAGACTGCCTGTTTTAGAAAGAGGGCATTTTGTTCTTGCTTATTTTTCCTCTCTGTGTTTTGATTACTAATTAGTCCTCAGAGAACAGCCT